CATGTGCCCTGACCGGGAATTGAACCGTGACCTCCTGGTTCCCAGGTCGACGCTCACCACTGAGCCACGCCGGCCGGGCGGAGGTGTTTGCCGTCACCGAGGACAAGGTGTCCTGTCCCGAGGCAGAGCAACTGCCCGGGGGACCATCAGAACGGGCAGAGTCCGGAGATGGGGCGGGGGACCCTCAGGCTGAGTGGGGGTGGACATCCATGGGAACACCCGGGCCCTGGGCCACCGGGGGGTCAGGGAGATGGCCCCGGGCGACACACCCACCATGTCACAGCGTGAACCCTGAGCGGCCACGGTGTCCCTGTACCAGGGATGTGTGTGTATGTCTGTGGCAGGAACATAGATGGGAGATGGCCCAAGCCCCAGCCCTGTGCTCCTCCACCTCCTCTCACCGGAGTGGGTTGGCCGGACCCCAGCTTTCAGGACAGAGAAGGGGGGACTCTGGGAGCTGGGTCCCTCACCCCCAATTCTCAGGGATTTGGCCTCTGAAGGGTGTCGTTCCAGATGGTCCCTGTCGTGCGTTCGTGTGTCAGGGAGAGGGATAGAGAGCTAGAAACATCCATGAGAGAGAAACATCCATCAGCTGCCTCCTGCACACCCCCCACTGGGGATATGCCCGCAACCCAGGTACATGCCCTTGACCGGAATCGAACCCGGGACCCTTCAGTCTGCAGGCCGACGCTCTATCCACTGAGCCAAACCGGCCGGGGCTTGAACTGATTTAGAGAAGTTCTCAGTAGCAGGGCCCTTCCCCACATCCTGTTTGCGCTGTTGAACAGGCGTTGACGCCCCAAAATCTGAACCTCAGCCCCGCTCCTGAGGGGCCGCACTGTGGCTTGAAGCTTTTGTCTTGAAATGCAAGGCAGGTGTTAGAAACAAACCCGGTGTCACGGCCGGAGAAAATGTCTCCGTGCCTGGGGCTTGGGTAAAGGAGAGCTGGCTGGCTTCTGTTTCCTCTCGAATTTTCTTTTCTGCGGAAGGGCGCCCAGGATTGCTTTTCTCTGACCTGTTTTTTAAGATTGGTTTGAGAGAGGAAGGGAGAGGGGGGGGAGAGAGAGAGAAACATCCATGAAGAGAGAGAATCACGGACCGGCTGCCTCCTGCACGCCCCACACTGGGGATCGAGCCTGCAACCCGGGCCTGTGCCCTTGACCTGGAATCGAACCGTGACCTCCTGGTTCATAGATGGTCGCTGAGCCACGCCGGCCGGCCGGGCTGGGCACCACTTCTTAGTCCTGCACGGGACCGGGCGCCGCTGCTGGCCACACGTCCATCCTGGAGGCTGCGGCCACGTGCCGATGTTCCTGGCTCCCTGTCCCTTCTCAGGAGCCAGAGTCTGACCCTGACCCTCACCTCTGCCCTCTGTGGCCCCGGCCTGTCTTCCTCGTCAGCTTCCGTCGCAGGGCAGCTCTCAGAACTTTGTTTTCGGGAGCCTCTCCCCTCCGACCCGGCCCTGGCCTTGAAAGGGATGAGCGAGGAGGCCGTGCGCTCTGTTCTCAGAAATGTTTTCAGGCCTCGTCCGCCTGTAGCTCGTTATCAGCACTTCCTCCTTGGCCCTCACCAGGGGCAGGCGAGTCACTGGCCCCTTGGGTAGGATTGTGCTGGTCATTTCCATGAAAACTGTATTGCTGACGAATGCGTGACTCACATGGACATGGCAGTGAGGTCTATGGGAAGCGGGGGGGGGGGGGGGGTAAGGGGGGGCCGTTACCAAGGTGGTTATGTGTGACCCTTAGAAATCAACCCTATCCTGGAAGGACTTGTCATTGGCATCCTTCTGACAGGCATGAAACAGTAAAAGTATGTTTTTTAAAAAAACAGCATTTTAAGCCCGGCCAGCGTGGCTCAGTGGTTGAGCACTGACCTTTGCACCAGGAGGTCACGGTTCGATTCCCCATCAGGGCACATGCCCGGGTTGTGGGCTCCATCCCCTGTAGGGGCCGTGCCGGGGGCAGCCGATCCATGATTCTCTCTCATCATGGATGTTTCTATCTCCCTCTCCCTCTCTCTTCCTCTCTGAAATCAACAAAAATATATTTTTAAAAGAAAAGGAAAAAGAAATGACCGGCTCCGGGAATTCTGCAGAAGTGAGAATGCCTCTCCCGACGGCAGATGGGCCCGGGGCCCCGCGGAGCTCTGTGAGGTGCTGACAGATGGCGGCCCAGTGTGGGCGGCCATCTCCTGGCTGCACAGCCCCTGGCACAGGTGGGGGCATGGGGCCCAGCTGGGGAGGAGGAGCAGACGAGATGAATAACCAACCAAACTCTGCATCCCGGGCTCCGGACGGAGCTGAGCCTGGAGCGGGAAAGGGTGTGATGCCAGAGAGCACTATTTTCAGAGAGGGAGGGATTCGCCAGACTCCGCCACCCAGCTGTCCTCCCCGCGTTTTGCTCCGTGGGCGTGTGTCCACACGGGTGACAGGTGCATTCTCCCTGCTGCCCTGGGGGTGTATCGGATGCCGTGAGTCACTGGGGCTCCTGGCCACCGGGGATAAATGACGCGCGCGGCCTCCCGTCCTCAGCCTCCTGCTCAGCTGTGGATGGGGCCTGTGGCTTCTTTGGTGGAGTCAGTCTGGCTCTTCCGCGTTCCCTGCTGCCGTCTGTCTGTCCTTACTATGATGGGTAATAGTTGCTCACAAAACAAATAATTCCACTCCCTGATTAGGCAAATGAAACATAACCTTTGCTCTGGCTGGTCTGGCTCAGTGAATGGACCATCGGCCTGCAGACTGAAGGGCCCCGGGTTCGATTCCGGTCAAGGGCACATACCTTGGTTGCAGGCTCCTCTGCGGCCCCGGCCCTGGTCGGGGTGCGTGCAGGAGGCAACCAATGGATGTGTCTCTCTCACATCGATATTTCTCTCTCTCTCTCTCTCTGTCTCTCCCTTTCCCTTCCACTCTCTCTAAAAATCAATGGGAAAATTAACAATAACAAAAAACACATCCACCTTCATTTTGCTTCCACGTATGTCTGACCATGAGAGCATCCTTCCTCCGTGGCAGGCGTGCGCCCTGGCCCTGAGCCGCCCCGTCTGCTCCATGGACGGCTTTACGCATCCCTCTCACATGGTCTGCCCGGCTCGCTTCCACCCCTCCTGTACTTGTTCTCTGAGCCCTGCACCAGGCCCACTGCCCTCGCTAACCCGTGGAACTGCAGGCAGGGTTCCAGGGGCAGCTGGCGATGCCAGGCGCAGATGGATTCAGGAAGCTACTCTCAGCCCAGCTGGCAGGGCTCAGGGGTTGAGCATCGACCTGTGAACCAGGAGGTCAGGTCACGGTTCCATTCCCGGTCAAGGGCACATGCCCGGGTTGCAGACTCGATCCCCAGGGTGGGGCGTGCAGGAGGCAGACGATCCAGGATTCTCTCTCATCACTGATGTTTCTCTCTCTCTCCCTCGCTGAAATCAATAAAAATATTTTTTAAAAAACAACAGTGAGGAACCCCCGCTCAGAGCCACGGTTCTCAACCTCCTGGGAGTCTCAGCCCTGGGAATCTCACGGGAAAAGGCACGTGAATTTAGATGTGCAAGTTGCACACGATTTCAGTGGACTCCTGGCGCCCCGTGGCGCGTGCGTAACCGCGTGTTTTCCGGGCACAGATGGGCGACCTTGACTGCCACGTGGACCTGCAAAGAGCCGGAACGAAGCAGAGAATTTGGGGGGTCGGAAGCGCGAGGTTTTCAGAGGCCTGTCTTTCTAAGCAGGTTATAGATCTTAGGAATCTGATTTGAAGCCTATTTTCAATGACAATTCCAGACGTGAGATGGGTTTTTTTTGTGTTTTTTTTTGCAGAATCCAATTTTGGGAAAATATGCCTTTTGCTGGCTTTTTCCTGAACGGACTTGTTCAGACATGTTAGTCTTTCAGGGCGAAGTGCCGGTGAGGTTTTAACCATCCGCTGGGCCCCACGCCCTGCGGGGTTCCCTCTGGCTGCCGTGTGGACTGCCTGGAACTGGCAGGGACTTGGGCCTGGTGGGAAGTAAAGCCCCCGCAGGCTGGGACCACCGGCCCTACTGTGTGTGTTTAGTGTTACACATGCTGGGACCACTGGCCCTACTCTGTGTGTGTCTAATGTTACACATGCTGGGACCACCGGCCCTACTGTGTGTGTGTTTAATGTTACACATGCTGGGACCACCGGCCCTACTGTGTGTGTGTTTAATGTTATACATGCTGGGACCACCGGCCCTACTATGTGTGTGTTTAATGTTACACATGCTGGGACCACCGTCCTACTGCATGCGTTTAATGTTATACATGCTGGGACCCTACTGTGTGTGTTTAATGTTACACATGCTGGGACCACCGGCCCTACTGTGTGTGTGTTTAATGTTACACATGCTGGGACCACCTGCCCTACTGTGTGTGTGTTTAATGTTACACATGCTGGGATCACCGGCCCTATTAAATGTGTGTTTAATGTTACACATGCTGGGACCACCGCCCTACTGCATGCGTTTAATGTTACACATGCTGGGACCCTACTGTGTGTGTTTAATGTTTGTTTTGTGGAACCGGTGGCATCTTAGAACCTCTGGAAGTGGCTAGAGGGGAAAGATGTTATGGTTTCTGGATGTGCCATGTAACCAGATAATTGCACAAACGATTGGAAAAGAAGTCAGGGCAGCTTTTGTCTTCATTTTCTTCCCCTTGTCCGATGTCTGCATCTTCACCGAGTCGGCACTGTCCTTCCGCTGTGCCTGGTCGGCTGGTCCTGGTTCCCTCTCCTTCCCTGTTACTACAGGCTCTGAACCCGGCCGGCGTGGCTCAGTGGTTGAGCATCCATCTGTGAACCAGGAGGTCACGGTTCGATTCCCGGTCAGGGCACAGGCCCGGGTGGCGGGCTCGATCCCCAGTGTGGGGCGTGCAGGAGGCGGCCGATCCATGATCCTCTCTCCTCATGGATGTTTCTGTTTCTCTCTGAAATCAATAAAAACATATTTTAAATGCCTACGTAACTAACTGTTCTCCTCCCCCCGCCCGTCTCCCGCAGGCTATGGCCACACGGTGCCCTTGTCGGACGGGGGCAAGGCCTTCTGCATCATCTACTCCATCATCGGCATCCCCTTCACCCTGCTGTTCCTGACGGCCGTGGTGCAGCGCGTCACCATCCACGTGACCCGCCGGCCCGTGCTCTACGTGCACCGGCGCTGGGGCTTCTCCAAGCAGCTGGTGGCCCTGGTCCACGCCGTGCTGCTGGGCGTGGCCACCGTGTCCTGCTTCTTCTTCATCCCGGCCGCCGTGTTCTCGGTGCTGGAGGACGACTGGAACTTCCTGGAGTCCTTTTACTTCTGCTTCATCTCGCTGAGCACCATCGGCCTGGGCGACTACGTCCCGGGGGAGGGCTACAACCAGAAGTTCCGGGAGCTCTACAAGCTGGGCATCACCTGTGAGTACCGGGTGCCGGTGCTGGTGCCGTGCCCGCGGGCCACGCTCCACCTGGTCTACCCACGAGCAGCCCTTCCTAGAAGCCCCGGTTGCTTTCTCGTGGATACAGTTTCAGTTCGACATCCATCACTGTTTCATTGGATTGGGATTCCCCCTTCAGAACGCTTTACGTAAAAATCGTATTATTTCTTTAAAAAAAAATATATATATATATATAAAATATATTTCTTTATTGATTTCAAAGAGGAAGGGAGAAGGAGAGAGAGATAGAAACATCAATGATGAGAGAGAACCATTGATCGGCTGCCTTCTGCACGCCCCCCACTGGGGATCAAGCCTGCAACCCAGGCATGTGCCCTTGGCCGGAATCGAACCTGGGACCCTTCAATCTGCAGGCTGACGCTCTATCCACTGAGCCAAGCCGGCCAGGGAGATATATATATTATTGATTTTAGAGAGGAAGGGAGAGGGAGGGAGAGAGAAAAACATCAATGATGAGAGAGAACCATGGACCGGCTGCTTGCATGCTCCCTACTGGGGATCGAGCCCGCAACCCGGGCATGTGCCCTGACTTGGAATAGAACCGCGACCTCCTGGTTCATAGGTCGACACTCAACAACGGAGCCTCGCCAGCTGGGCTCTCATTGATAAATTTTCAATTTCGCTGTCACTGTTTCATTGGATCCGGATTCCCTTCCAGAAGGCTTTATGTAAAAATCTTATTATTTCTGAGAGTTATTTTTCCCAAGCACCTTAAACGTACAGATCAAGGCCCAGCCAACGTGGCTCAGTGGTTGAGCATCGACCTATAAACCAGGAGGTCACGGTTCAATTCCTGGTCAGGGCACATGCCCGGGTTGCGGGCTCGATTCCCTGTGTGGGGCGGCGTGCAGGAGGCAGCGGATCGATGATTCTCATCATTGATGTTTCTGTCTCTCCCTCTCCCTTCCTCTCTGAAATCAATGAAAATATAATTAAAAAAAAAAAAGACAGGTCAATTTCTTACTCATAATAGACATTATAAATTACCGTGTAAAAATGTGCCAGAGAATGTACTTGAGAACCAACTTTTAATTGAAAAATGTTTCTCTGCAAACAAGTCCCAGGATTGCAGCTGGGTGCAGGCAGCCATGCTCTGTAATGTACCAGACACATCTTTTTTAAAAAAATATATATATATTATTACTTTTTAAAGAAAGGAAGGGAGAGGGATAGAGAGTTAGAAACATCGATGAGAGAGAAACATCGGTCAGCTGCCTCCTGCACACCCCCTACTGGGGATGTGCCCGCAACCAAGGTACGTGCCCTTGACCGGAATTGAACCTGGGACCCTTCAGTCCGCAGGCCGACGCTCCATCCACTGAGCCAAACCGGTCAGGGCCCAGAAACATCTTAAAACAGTTGCTTATCTTATTGGCCACCTGGTTCTCCTTTGAAACGGAGACTGTGCTAACCATTTTCAGAATGTTACGTGTGGAACATAGGCAATCCATTTCAGGTGGCCAGTGACCCATCATTTTTAAGAAGTTTTTACAAATTCCATGCGATCCCCTGGGAAGCTGGGAAACCCGGTTTTAGGGAACCGTGGAGTCGCATCGGAATGTCCGTGCGCTTTTCCTTTCGGCCTCATCAAGGACCTTGCCAGGCTCCAGCCAGCCCTGGCCACGGTGTCGCGTCGACAGGCAGCTGCCCTGCCTGGCCCCGGCTTGTCGGCCTAACTTGACACAACCACGTGTGTGTTCGCATTTCTAAGTTCCGTAAATATGTACCAAGTAGTTACAAGGAGATTTCATATTTCCTCTAGTGACAAGCCTATTATTTTTATTATTTTATTTATTTTTAAAAAAATATTTTTATTGATTCCAGAGTGGAAGGGACGGGGGGGGGAAGGGGGAGAAAGAGAGAGATATCAATGATGAGAGAGGATCATGGATCAGCTGCCTCCTGCACGCCCCCCACTGGGGATGGAGCCCGAAACCTGGGCATGTGCCCTGACCAGGAATCGAACCGTGACCTCCTGGTTCATAGGTTGAGGCTCAACCCCTGAGCCACGCCGGCCGGGCTGGGATCCCCCCCTTTGAGCCGTGGGATTCCAGGGGTGCCTCGAAATCGGAGCGGTGGCGATGACTTGATTCATGAACGGACTCAGCTGGGGTCCTGGCTTGATCTGCCCGTGACCGGGTCCCACTGAGACGCGGGTTTTGTCGCGCAGGTTACCTGCTGCTCGGCCTCGTGGCCATGCTGGTGGTGCTGGAAACCTTCTGCGAGCTGCACGAGCTGAAGAAGTTCCGCAAGATGTTCTACGTCAAGAAGGACAAGGACGAGGACCAGGTGCACATCATGGAGCACGACCAGCTGTCCTTCTCCTCCATCACGGACCAGGCGGCCGGCGGGAAGGAGGACCAGAAGCCCGACGAGCCCTTCGTGGGCCCGGAGCCGCCCGTCCACGCCGACGGCCCCCCACAGCGCTGAGCGCGGGCCTGGTCCTCCTCCCGCACCGGGTGGGGCGGGGCAGGGAGAGGTTTCGCTTTGTTCGTCTTAGGAGAATACAAAAGCCAAAACGATATTGTAACAAGCACCCGCCGTCGGTAATATTCGAAACGAGACAGAAAGGGGGACGCAGAAAGCTTTTGCCTCCCGAGGACTGATATCTGAGGACACGGGGTATGTACCTGTCATTCCTCCGAAGCACGATGATCCAGACTGTGTAGTGGGGTGAGGACCGCTGTGGGTAGAAGCAGGTTTTCTACTTTTCATTGGGGACGTTAGGGTTTGCCTCGAAATCATCTAGCGGACGGCTCAATAGCAACATTTATACTGAAAAGCAAATGGGAAGCCTAGAGATTTGTTTTATAAATTTATGTGTATGGGTTTGCATGCGCCCGCCCGAAATGATTATTTTTGTAGAACCTAAGATAACCCTGTTATTTATAACGAATAGGTGCCCATGAACTGTGTACATCCCGGGTATACATATGTTCATACTGTGGACAGAGGGGCCCAGGTCGGCGGTTCTCAGCAGACCTCCTCACCCGGGATTGTAGCTGTCGTGTCTTTGGATTCCTCTTTGGACTAAAGACCCGAGCGAGTGCGGCTGCGGTATGATAAGGGGGGGAACGCACGGGAGAGCGAAGGCCTGGCCTATTCCGCTGCAATAAACGTGTCCGTCCTCTTGCAATAAATAGTGCTCTCAGGTGCCTGCGCTGCTGGCGAGCATTTCTCCGCAAGTGAACGGCCGTGAGAACGCGGTCTGTGAATCGGGTGAGATGTTGGTTCCGAAAGTGCGCCGTGACCCGCAGTCCCCTGGCGCTAACACGCGGGACGTGACCACAGAGGCCCCACGTGACGACATCCTGTCAAGTGAATCGGAGACTCTACATTTTTAGAAATATATATATTTTTATTGATTTCAGAGAGGAGGGAAGAGAGAGAGAGAGAGAGAAACATCCATGATGAGAAAGAATCCACTGGGGGATAGGCGAGGCCAGGGGGGAGGGGGAAGGAGACATATGTAATACTCTTTGTAATACTTTAAGCAATAAAACAAAATTAAATTGAAAAAAAAAAGAATCGTGGATCGGCTGCCTCCTACAAGCCCCACACTGGAGATCGAGCCCGCAACCCCGGGCATGTGTCCTGACCGGGAATCGAACCCTGACCTCCTGGTTCATAGTTCACGATGCCCAACCCCTGAGCCAGGCCGGCCGGGCAACATAGATTACCTCTTGACTCCCCAAAAAGTGTAGGACGGTGTTTCCTAGGAACCTCATTAATAAAATAAATAAAATAAAAAGGTTTTCCCGCTGCTTCCTCATTGGAAAACTCTGCCTGGTTATTAGGATTCAGATGTTTCCTGGCTCTTGACCTGGTAGGAGATGCTGGAAATAATGCAACAATTCAGGGACTGTCTCCTGTCCACACACACACACACACACACACACACACACACCAGGCTCCGGGCTCTCCGTGGGGGCTGGCGGGGTCCCCGGGGGGCAGGAGGGCTGGACATAGGGCGGGGCCCTCCTTGGGGCCAGTGCTCCCTGGATGCTCTCCCCCTACAGCCCCTCGACTAGGACCATGTCCTGTGTCCCCCACCCCATCTGATCTCGGGGTGCCGGAAGCCTCCAGGAACGTCCGATGGAGAAACGGTGCCTTCCCAGTCTTAGGATTGAGTTTGTTTCCGCTTTGCTCAGTATTTTTTTTTTTTTTTTGCAGAACAGATACTAAGATAGAAGCATGTACCTCCTGCTAAATTTAACTGAACCAACAAAGCCCTCGGAGGTGCCAGGGCTCGGGGTGCAGGCCTGTTCGTTAGCTCGTGCGCCCTCTAGTGGCTTTCAGGAGCACAACACCGAAGTGCAGGCTGAAACAGGACAGCAGTTACTCTTCTGCACTTCGTTGGTTTTCCCTAAAAGTTGGGGCTGGTGCTATGGAAAACAGTGTGAGGTTTCCTCGAAAAATTAAATATGGAACTGTCGTTGGACCCAGTGACCCCACGTCTAGGAATATAGCCTAAGCTACCCGGGTCACCAATCAGAAGGGATATATGCACCCCTATATTCACAGCAGCACAATTTACAGTAGCTAAGAGCTGGAAACAGCCCGAGTGCCCATTCAAAGACGAGTGGATAGAAAAGCTGTGGGTCGGTTACACCGTGGAATACTATGCAGCCGGGAAAAAGGAGCTCTTACCCTCTGAGACAGCAGGAGGGAGCTGGAGAGCATCATGCTGAGTGACAGAAGCCAGTCAGAGAGAGACACGTATCCCCTGATCGCACTCCCACGTGGAATCTAAGGAACAAAATAAACTGATGGACGGAGTGGATCCAGAGCCATGGAGGCAGGGGACCGAGTGGGAACCTCAGAGGGAGGGCGGGTGGGTGGGAGGTAATCAACCAAAGACCTTGTGTGCAGATATGCACGGACCACGGGCACAGACAATGGGATGCTGAAGGCCTGGGGCAAGGGGTGGAGGTGGGCTGGAGGGGAGCCAATGGGGGAAAAAAGGAGACATATGTAATACTTCCAACAATAAAGATTTTTAAAAATAGTAATGATAGCTCATATCTACTAAATACCGGCCTTGACCATGTCCCAGGCCCTAGTCTACGTCCTTTACACGTATTTGGCTCATTTTATCGTCACAACCATCTTATAAGGCCACCCCCTTCACACAGAGGAGAGAACTGAGTTTCAGAAAGGTTAGAGATCGGCCCAGGGTCCGCACGGCCTGAATGTGGCGAATCCATGGTTAGGGCCCCAATAGAGACACGTTTAATTTCCTTTCCTCGTCTAATTGCAGTGGCTGGGACTGGCGAGAACAGACCCCTGGCCTCTCTCCTAACCTGAACAAGGGAGCTCCTAGTTTCTTTCCATCATGATGTCAGAGTTTTGTCGCTGTCCCTTACCCACGATTCCCTCGAGAAAGTCCTCCTCTATCCCTACTTTGCCGAAGCAATATCATTTTCCTATCAAAAGCGTACAAAAAGTAGTGTGTACAGTTCGATTCTGATTTTGAGAAGAAAATACTTTCTATTGGAAAAGCGTGTGGAAGGCAATCCACTGATAAAGGAGTCATGTGGGGCCGTTAGAAGGGGTATTTTTTTTCTTTACATAGTTCTGTATTTCGGAAACTTGCCCTGATGAACGCACATGTATTTTATTTTTTTAACAACAGAACAATAACGTTATGAAAAGCGATGCCCTGTTCTGGAGAGCTGGCTTGCAGACAGAAAATAAGACGATTAAAGACTAACGTAGCCAAGCCGGTGTAGCTCTGGTTGAGTGTCTACCTATGAACCAGGTCACGGTTCGACTCCCGGGATTTCGGGCTTGATCTCCAGTGTGGGGCGTGCAGGAGGCAGTGGAGCCATGATTCCCTCTCATCATGGATGTTTCTCTCTCCCTCTCCCATAAAAATGTATTAAAGAAGAAAAAAGAAAAACGGAACAGAACTGCTCAACCTGGAGCAGGAGGGCCTGGCAGGTCTTGGCCGAGGGGAGGAGTCGCGGGGCGGAGGAGGTGCCTGGTGCCTCTCGGAGCGCAGCGCACGCCCGGGCCGCGGGGAGGGGCAGCAGCGCCCCCACCTGGCGCCGGCGTCGCGGGCTGGCGCGCACCCCCAGCTCAGGTGCGTGGAGAGCAGAGCGCACCCCGCGCGCCGTGCTCTCCGGGGGCCGGGCTCCCGCGGGCCGTGCCGGGCGGCGGGCCGGTGAGGGCGCGGCGCCCGAGCGGCCCTGACCCCGCCGGGCTGCAGCGGGAGCCGGGGCTGGAGCGGGGGAGCCGCGCCCGCGCCGCGGAGGGCGGGAGGGGAGGGGGGAGGCGCTGGGGAGGCGCGCGGCGCGGGCGCGCACAGGCGCGCGGGGCGGCGCGGACCCTCGCGGGCAGCTCGCCCTCCGCTCCCGGGTCCGCGGCTGCCGGCGGCTCAGCCCGCGGCCCCTCCGCCTCGACTCTGGGCGCCCGCGGCCGCACCCTGCCGCCGCCGATGGGGATCCGAGAGTTCCCCGGCGGCGCGCCCCGGGGCAAAGGCATCGCCACGTGAGTAGCGCCTGGAGCGGGCGCGCGCGCGGGCGGGCGGACGGGCGGCCCTGGGCGGCTGGGGTGCCGGGCGGTGGGGGGCTCGGGAAGGGGCGGCGCTGCCCGGCAAGTTCCCGACGGCCTGGCCCTCGCCACTCGCCACCCCCCCGCCTCCGCCTTGCCCCAGGCGCCCAGGACCGGGCACCGGCGACGGCACCCGACGCCGCCGAGGCTGCCGGGGAGCCGGGTGGGCGGCGAGCGGGGAGGGGGAGCGCGGCTTGGCGGTGGCACCTGCCCCTGGAGGCCAGACCGCGCCCCTGCTCGGCCTCCGATCCATCCTCACCGACCCCCCCTTCCCCCCCGCATCTCTCCCGCCCGCCCGCCTGGCCGCAGTGGCATGAGAAGGTCCCCGGACGTCAGCCCGCGGAGACTGTCGGACATCAGCCCGCAGCTCCGGCAGCTCAAGTACTTGGTGGTGGACGAGGCCATCAAGGAGGACCTCAAGTGGTCGCGCTCGGTGGAGGACCTCACCGGCGGGCCCGCGGGGCTCACGTCCATCGAGGAGCGCATCCTGCGCATCACCGGCTACTACGGCTACCAGCCCTGGGCGGCGAGCTGCAAAAGTAAGGCCGTACCTCCCGGCCCCCTGTCCCCTGCCCGGCCGGGGGTCCCCCCTGCTGTCCTGGGAGCGCGCGCAGCCATGCGCCTGGCCGCCCTCCTGCGCCCTGAGCACAGGCACAGACCCAGGTTGGCAGCTTTGAGGGAGAGGCCTGGAGATGGGAGTTGTCGGGGGCCTTTGGGGATTTCTGATCCATTCTCTTACACTCCAGGTCCCCCCCTTCCCCGTTCCCCACACACCTCCCTGTCCTATCCCTTGCTAGTGAGGGGTACCCTGGGAGACTTTGGGGACGGTGAGTCCTGCACTGTGAAGCTTCCCTGTGGATCTGAAGGTGTCACTCGCTGGAATGGGGCTTGGCTGGAGACTGCGCGCTCAGCTGGCCTGGATTTTAACTCTCCCTGTTCCTCTAGGCCAGTGGTTCTCAACCTTCCGGCCCTTTCAGTACAGCTCCTCATGCGGTGACCCAACCGTAAAATTACTTTCGTTGCTACTTCATCACTGTCATGTTGCTACTGTAAATAGCTGATATGCAGGATGGTCTGAGGCGACCCCTGTGAAAGGGTCGTTCGACCGCCAAAGGCGTCGCGACCCACAGGTTGAGAACCGCTGCCTAGACCCCCGATGGGGGACAATGCTTGGGCCTTCATTTGAGCTCATTCACTCCCTTTGCCTCGAATTTTTATCCGTCCTCCCTGGAGGGCTGGGCGTGGACCCTTCTAGGTCTGGTACAGATACCTGGTTGGTGTCAGGTGGAGCCGCCGAAACGGTCCTGGGCTGATGGGCCGGGCTGATGGCTTTGACAGTGTGGTGATCAGCGATGCAGGCGTTACCTGTGTGTGAGTGGGACTCCTTGGGGGACAGTGCTTTCTCTGGGTTTGGAAGGCAGAAGGTGACGACCACTCACTCGGGGTACCCCTGACTGCAAACCACACGGAGGGGGACCCGTCCCCACGGTCTGTTTCCTGACCACAAAGAGGCAGGCAGTGACCCCTGGGGTGCGTGTGAGACATGCGTGACACGGTTCCATTCGTGATACAAGGCTAGCAGCTTCGTGATCCCGGGATATGTTTCTACCCTTTGTTGCTTGACATTGGAACATATTTTGTTGGTCCTTAGGGGGAAAAAAATCCAGCTCTTGTAAATTAATCACAGTCCGTTCTAAAAATACATCCACTTTTAGCGTGTGTGTGTGTGTTGTGGTGGTGGTTTTATTTTTCCCTAAAACCCCTGGTTTCAAGTCAAAGGTCAGTGGTGTGCTAGCAGTTAGCGGGTTCCTTTTCAGTCCTTTGCAGGAAGAAATGTGGAACTTCAGTGTTTTCTCTTCGTGTCCTTGTTTCTGAAGGACGGTGGCGATTGCGTTGAACTCTGTCTAAAGGTCGCCCGGGTCTCCTCCCATCTCCTGCGTCTGCTGCTAAAATTGTAGCTGGTCAGAAGCTGGCTTTGGGTTCTAGAAGGAAGACAAAGGTCCAAGTTCCCTTTTCAACTGGAAAGCACTGGCCGTAGAACCACAAGCCCATTTCTCCTGGACACAAGCACAGGAGACGCGGATAATATTTCTGCCTCTTAAATTTCTGTTGGAATCCTCTGTCTCCTATTCCTAGCCTCTGCTTCCCGGGTAACCGAAGACAGTGGTATCAACCGCAGCCTTCATGGGCCCGTCTGGTTAGCCCGAAGGTCATACTAAGGCTGGTCATTGTCATTCCGTCTGTGACCTTGGGAGCTCACGGCAGCGTTTGGCACAAGCATGCTTTATCATTAAGACAGGGGAATGCATTGCCCGGCCGGCGTGGCTCAGTGGTTGAGCATCGACCTATGAACCAGGAGGTCACGGTTCCCTTCCCGGTCAGGGCACAGGCCCGGGTTGCGGTCTTGATCCCCAAGTGGGGGGCGGGTAGGAGGCAGCCGATCCATGATTCTCTCTCCTCATTGATGTTTCTATCTCTCTCTCCCTCTCCCTTCCTCTCTGAAATCCATTAAAAAAAAAAAAAAAAAAGACAGGGGAAAGGCCATGTGGAGAGATATTAGCAGACAAGGCTACGGTGAGCATAGGGCCGTGAATAAAATCAGCTCCCCCCACTCTCTCCTCCTATGAAGATCTTTCTTTCCTCCAAGCTGTTTCCTCTGTACTAAAACGCTTTACTAGTAGGTGAAACCTGACATTTTGACGAATTAATTGGATTTTAAGTTTACATTTGGAGAAACTAATGTTTGACTAATACAGCCAAAGACCTCTTAGAGCAATGCTTTAGCTGTTTTGAAGAGAGAAAAATAAATTCATCGAGAGCCTTATCTATATGTTGAAATCAGTGAGTTATCGTGTTTGTTGCTTAAGCATCGCGCTCAACAAACTGGGAGACGTGCTCACAGAATAACTTACTCCCCCGGTCTCGGAGCACGGTACCTTTCCTGGCCTCATGGATCAGGAGGAAATTATATTTCCTGTCCTCATTGCAGAGCCCAGAGAGGCCTGTACCGTGAGGCACCTGGTCCGTTGTTTTGGTCAACGAGGGAGACAGGCCTTTGAGCAGCTGTCTAGGACATGGGCACGCGTCCTGCTCTCGTGCTGCGGCTTGAGGTGGCCTTGACCTTGACAGCATTCGAGACGAGAGAGATGATTGACCTGCAGGAGGCTCAAGGGCGTTGGGGCCCCTGAGACGTCTCAGAGCAGTTGTCTGGCTTGACAGATGTTTCCTGTGACATTCCGAGTTCCTCCTGTCTGTGGGGTCTCGTCCACGGGCCTGGACCAGGTGGGATTCTATTAGGGAATCATTTTTATCCTTCCCCACCATCTGTTTCGTGGCAATGGAGAGTTCTAAAAATTTGGGCTACGTCCTCAAAGTTTGATTCCCAAGGGTCGGAAGAAAGGTGTTTCTTCATGAATGTGGACTCTGCTTCCTTTTTTTTTTTTACAAGTTGAGTCTACTTGTTCCCGATGAAGATGCTCTCCTCTGGAGAACCCCGTGGGCCAGGCTGGGGTTCCAGAAAATCCCTGCGTGCTCATGAACACGCTCATTTGTAAATGGCATAACCATCCATCCACCCATCCATCCGCCAGCAGACCGTTCACTGCTTCCAAGGGGCAGCAAATTCGGTCCCTTCCAAGTACACGGTACAGTCGCTGTTTCCTAGAAAATTACGTAGAGGGAGACAAGACGGACAGGTGTCACTCCACGAGGCCCCACGCTCTCCTGGACCATCTGTCTCACCGGCGCACACGTGTGCTCGTTGGACGAAACAGCTTGGACGGCCTTGGATCCCCCCCTCCCGCTGACCTCATGACACTAACCATCGGTTGCATCATGACTTCTTGTAGGGCGTCACCCACAGCTTGTGAGCAGCAGGCTAGGGGGTGGGGCCCCTGGCAACTTCCCTTTCTCTTCCTTTAAAAAAACTCAAGCTCAGCCCGGCTGGCGTGGCTCAGGGGTTGAGCATCAACCTGTGAACCAGGAGGTCACGGTTCGATTCCTGGTCAGGGCACATGCCCCTGTTATGGGCTCCATCCCCAGGGAGGGGGGCGGGCAGGAGGCAGCCGATCAATTATTCTCTCTTATCTTCATTGTTTCCATCTCGCTCTCCCTCTCCTTCCTCTCTGAAATAAAAAAAATATATATATATATTTTTAAAAAACACAACAAAAACCCCAATTGCTTAAACCATTGGTTATTGGAGACTGACTCAATTCCCAGCCTTCCCCAGCTCCCTGGAGGGGGACGTGGGACGGAAAGTTCCAACCTCTCCTTAGCGTTGGTGCCATGGCAACCAGCCCCCCCAGCTCCCCCCCCATCCCCCGCCTCCGGGCTCCCTGCAAGCCAGGTCTTTAGTACAAACTCAGGTGTGGCTGGCAAGAGCTCACCCATTCCCCTTCATTGCTCTTATCAGGAAATGTCAAGGGTTGGAGGGGCTCTGGGCCAGAAATGCGGGTGAAAACGAAGTATATAATTCTTCCCTTTTTTTAAAAAAAACTTTTAAATTGAATTTATTGGGGAGACATTGGTTTATAAAAGTACATAGGTTTCAGGTGTCCAATTCTACAAACTGTAATCTGTGCATTGTATTGTGTGTTCACCACCCCAAGTCAAATCTCAATGTTAGGCTCCATCTGATCACAGCTCCATCCATCCATCCATCCATCCATCCATCCGTAGAACATCCTTAAAGAAAGCCATTGAGGTTCCCATAACACGGGGTGTGCCAGGAAGGGGTGGGGCCAGGACCCTCAGTCCGCTATGCCCCGCCCCCTTCAGGAGTCAGCTGGGGAAAGAGTGACCAGGAGAAGGTGGGACAAGGACTTTGAGGTGACCCAAGGGCCTTTGTGGCCAGCCACGGAGGCGGTACTGTAAGCAGCTCCATCTCTGAGCATCCTTTGTAGCCAGGGGTGGCCACGGGCGGGCCGTGGTTTTGGGCGATGAAATATACATGAAATGCCTGAGAGAGGAGTCTCTTGCTGCCCAGAAGGGAGAAGCCTGCCGGAGAGAAAGTTCTGGGTTATCCTCGTCCCCCTCCGCCCTGCCCAGATCCGGACACAGTGCCACCGCCGTCACCATGCGGATGGGAACTCCCCGATCCGCTGGCAGGGCAGGGGGGTGGGAGCAGTCTGGGTCTCGGCTGGCATGTCCCAGCCGCACCAGCCTGGGTGGGATCGTGTGTGTGTGTGTGTGTGTGTGTGTGTGTGTGTGTGTTTCCAGTCTTCTTAGCGCAGGAGGGAAGCCAGCCGCCTGGCTTTCTGTGCTTTGCACCTGAGCTCATTTGTAACCGGGACAGCTCTCCAATTCCGAGTTGCAGAAAGAATGATTGAAATTCAATCAAGCGGGCCTTCCTATTGATCGGAGTCGCTCACCAACGGAATAGACTTCTTTTATCTTGTTCTTGGGAGCGGCTCTTCCTCCGTGCCACCCCCACCCCGGGCCCCATGTGATGGATGTCCCTGCCAGCCATCGGGTAGTCAGACCCTGCGGTCACCTTGGTCCGTCCTCCTGCCTCCTGCACACCTCATTGCCAGACGCC